ATATTCCCGCAATGTTCTGTATATTTTTTGAACATCGTGGGATATTCATAGAATATCAAATGCTATCTGGGATGTGCATTGTGATAAGCCCAGAATTTTTTTGGTCAATGTTGAAGATGAAAAAGTCCCAATTTCCTTGTCCATGAAGGAGGTTTATTAATAAGAGGCGACTTCCGTCTCAAACAAGGGTCTTTGCAGGTGGTCCCCTTGAGCCCCAACATTTTAATAAAGCAATAAAATGAAATCGCTTTCCACATCCTTTGAGTAGGTGCAGCAGCCAATTGTCTTTTGTGTTCGCCTTCGCCTTCTTTGTTCCAGATTCTCACGTATTTTATTTACCATGAAGAGCGGTTGCAATGGTCGATTTTCATCGCTGCGCCCATGAAAATTTGTGTGCCGAAAATAACGCGCTAATAACAAAACTAGCACGCTAACGAATGATAAAAATAAGTGGCTTTGAGTGAAATTTTGCAGGGTTTCCTGCGAACATTTTCTCTTACTGCTCCAAACTCTAAAGATTTTCTTTCAATGCCTTTGCTTTCCTTCTTGCGGGTTTAAAGTTGATTTTTCTCAGTTAGTTGGGAAGTTAATAAAACGGCAATTTTCTAGGAAACATCAGAACTGTATTTTACAAGTTTACATATTTTAACAGGGACTAGTTGTAGCGCCGAGTCGGAAAGTTTCAGTACAAAATAACTACACACTTTTTCTGTACACTTGCAAATTCGCTTTCTTATTTCACATTTTGCACATCTATATAAACAAACCATAGAAAAATATATTGCTAGCTACTACTTAAGTAACATTATTAATTGTACATGGTCATTGGTTGAATAAACACTGAACTCCTTGCGCATAGGGGATCTTTTGCAAGACTTCGATTCAAAAATTTTCAGCTAAAAACATTTATATAATCAATTTATTATTTGCTAAAAAACAGCCAATAATCCTCCGGTCTGTACATTTTGTCAACTTTTGAGTTAAAGAAATAACTGCAAAAACCAACTTGCTGCTTAGCAAGTGAGTTTGCGTAATTGAAAACTTTGCAGATAAATAAAAAATAGATCGCAGCAATAAAAAAATGTTTATCAAATTCTTTATAAAACGTGCATAGTTTCTATTAACAACTATTTGTTTCAGTGTTTTATTTGCGCTCTTATTCATTCACACTTAATAACAACTCATATTATATAAGCACAGATTTTTTATTGTGTAAAAATTCGCATTTCCGCAGTTTCAATGAATATATTCGTTGTCTCCGTTGCAGGCGGGAATTTTATTCATTGATTTTTGCCACTTGAATGTTTGCTATCGGCTTCGAAACCAGAAAAATGTGCATTTTCCGATAAATAAACAAACACTTTTCATATTTCTGCTTTCTTTGCATTGCCGCAATCAAAGAGTATTAAACAGTAAAACATTTTTCAGCACAACGCAATCATGAAAAAATGTTAATCAAGGCACCAAATCTGCAGGACATTAAACCAGTTTGAACGCATTAAAGAACAAAATAAAGAAGATGAGTGGTTTGGAGAGAGAAATGAACAGACCAATGAAAAAAATGATTGAGAAACAATAAAGATTGAACTTAAAAACAGTAGACTTTTTTGAAAGAAACTAAAGAGTTGAGTAAAACTAAGATTGTTTCTGCTAGAAATAGACCCGAAGTGAAAAAGCAGCGTTTCGAAGTGGAAAGTTTTTGTCCAATTCATGAAAGTGGAAATATCTGGAAGCAACATCGTTGCGAAAAGTCGTAAACTGAATAGATGGCGAAGCGTTCGATATTCGCTCTTTTTTCCCGGAATCTTGATGGGAATATCGAGAAAATGCACGATGCTTTAGAAACAGTCCAGTTTTACTTTTCTAGT